TTTCTCCAGCCCTGCACCTACTTTGGGATAGCAGATGTGGGGCCATCCCTACTAAAGTATTCTGTAGGTGCTCAAATTTCAGCTGAGCTAAAGGAGATATTTTCCTAACTAATGCAAAAGCAATGCATTGAGGATTATTACATTCCCAGAAATCACCCCAAAGCCCCTGATGATATGAAAATAACTGAGGAGATTTTTAAGGGGAAATATTTTATGTGCTTGTCTTCTACTTCTGCCAGCCTAGGTACCAACCTGCATCCCCTCTCAGAGCCTGCATGTGACACAGACCATTGGTGCTGCTCAGCAGAGCCCTTCTCATGCTCCAAACCAGCTTGTCATGGCATCAGAATATCCAAGATCAAAGTTCAGAGCCTCAGGTGATCAGGTGCCTTTGGCAATGATTAAATCAGCACTGCACCCTGATCTTTTACAGGAACTGGACAGATGAATTGGACAGAATCAAGAGGAGCAGTAAAGAGGATTAATTGGTTTGAATTTTGGATGATTCACCTATAATTGTTAAACTAAAGCAGTGGTGCAAAAGTTATGAACATTATGTCACTTTGGTTTGGATTTTTAAAAAATTTTAATACGTATAACTTACTGGTGCCTGAGGTATGTTTAAAAAGTAATTTGGCTAAAAGCTAAGTATGTTGCAATCAAGAAAATGAAGAGCAAAGAACAGAATCTAACCCACAGCTGGAGAAAAAGGGGATTTTGTTCTATGAAAATATGGTATTCAATGCTTGAAAGATTTCTTATTCACAATAAAAGCTCAAACCAAATAAAGAGATGTTAAGTTTCTGGAAACTACAAAACTGGGATGCAGTCCATGACCAAAGCAAAGTTTTATCATGTTCAATAATGCTAATTTTATGCTAGTGAGCAGACATTGGTTAAAACTACACGTCTCTGTAATGTGTTCAGCATTTTAAAGCACATATTCCAGTTAGGGGCTAAATGTTAATACAGATTTTCACACGGTATATTCAAATACCAATTAGTAAGTCAGTATTTCTAAGTGACCAGAACTGACCCCACATAAATATAGAAAATAAAGGACAAAATACACTTAGGCTAGTGTATTTTATTTAAAAAATTAAAAAGAAGATATTAAAGTTGATATTAAACTTTAGTCCATTGTCAGCAACAGCTGTCAGAGCAGGCAGGTAGCACAGCCAAGGTGAAAATGTTAAGGAGTCTCATGAGTATGAAAAGCTTTAAATTACTGCTCATATTGACCCACTGTGTGACACAGGACTGGACCCTGCAGTGCACACCAGAAGGACAGGGACACTTGCTGGCCTCAGCAGCCCTGTGCCCCCACAGCAACAGAAACTCAGGGGCAGATAAATTCTATCCTTTAGAAAACAGGACAAAACCTTTTCACTGAACAGTTTGTAATCTCTGTTTCATATTACTTTCTTAAGCAGCAAGATGTTACAGGTTATCTCATAATGGAAACCTTTTCCTTTCTCCTCTTTCACTATGAAACACATCCAGCAGAAGAGGAAATTTAACTTAAAAACCTGGCAGAGACAGAAAAAGAAACCTTTTCTTTTTGGGAAAAAAACCCACAAAACCATCACCAGCAATGAAATTCAAATGTCATCTCAAGTTAGGCAGGTGGTTTGAGCTATCAATCACAGAAAAAATTCCGCTTGCATCTGTATGAAAAACACACTTCATCAATTTTAGACCACAAACACTCCCACAATTCGCACAGACATTTTTCTCCATGCTCTTTACTGCCTTTAGTACTATGAGCCAAAGACTATTTTAGGCAAAGTTTATTTTTCTAAGTTTATTCCAGGACATCTAAATGGGATGTGTGAAATAATTCTTCTATCTGCTACTAAAGAGCTACAGCCCAAGAAGGCTGTTCAGTTTAGGGAATAGTCTCCTAAAGACACAGATGGATTAGAAAGATGCCAGGAAAACAACAGAACTACTTCAGGTCCAGAAAGAACAATCTCTGAAAAAAAGGTTTAAAAACCTCCCAATGCTGAGCATGAATAAGGATGTGGTAAATCCTGAGGTAAATAAAATGCACTTACAAAGAGGAGGATTATCCTCTTTACAAGATGCAATGGGTCTTGCTGCAGCCAGAAAGACTGAGGTGAAATAATAGGAAAATCTGCTATAGAACATTGAAGCCCTGAAGGTTTTTAAGAACAGGGTTGGTAGACATTTGTCAGGATTGATTAAGGCTGATCTGGATCTAGGGCAAAGGAATGGAGAAACTGATCACTAAAAACACTGTCCAGTCCTATTTCCCTTCCATCTGATCCCTTTCCTACTGAGTCAATGTGATTTCTGCAGCATGCATGCTGGGAGTCAAAAGGGCTAAAACCTTTGTTCATTTTAAACATTACTTCATTTGAATCTCTTTACATTTTATGTGTAGATTACTCCGTGAAGACATTTTATCATTACTATTCCATTAAAAATGTAGGATAGTTGCATTTATTTAAAGGAAAATATTCCAGTTTTGTCTAGAAAAATGGAGATCTCCTTCCAGTTTTAATATTCCCATTTAATTACCTCTTTTATTAATCAAGCTACTACTTCCTATAATCAACTTTGTAAAGAAACAAGTGGGAATGCTAGAAGGCTTATCTGCTTCTGTTGCTATATCTTGTAAAAAAATCCTTTTATTCTGCCAAAAATCAGAGCCCTGACTAAATAAATGCACAACTCAGAAGTTGAGCATTAATACTGCTGAAAGCATTAATACTGCTGAAACGCTGACCCAAGAAAAATATCCATGTTAATGACATTGTTTTCCATGCTATATTATAGAAGCAATAAGCATTTACTTATTCATAATTTCACACACAAGCCACTAATCTAGAAAATTAGATTTCTGAAAGAACATAGAACACAAAAATCCATCTGAATCACTTCATTCTTTTTAATAAACTTTCTCAGTGAAACATTGATATTGAAGGAATCAATATGACTTTTACAAAAATATCCCTATTGTCATTCATTTATTCAAATAGGGACCTTAGCCTTAATTAAAATAACTCTGCAGAGACCCAAGAGAAGCACATATGTATAATTCCTACTATTACTTATTTATTATTTCAATTAATTATTTATTACTAAGAGTTTTTTCAAAAAAAGCACATAGAATTTTAATTAAAGTTACAGTAGATTCTGAGTACTAAAAGTGCACATACAGATCACTTTCATATATCAAAATGAAGTCAAAATAATTTCAGTGCATGTTGATCTATAGGCAATTCCCTTTCTGTGGAAGTGCAAATAAAGTTACACACAAAGACCAAAAGCTCAGCTGCACACGTGGCTGTAATGACTGTTTTGTTTAATCAGACTCTTCCCTTGGGTAAAGATCAGCCCAGCCAGGTCCTCCTCAGCCTCCTAACACAGGGAGGATGGAGTGGAGTTGGAGAGCACAGCTGGGTTCCCCCACGCTCACCATGCACTGCCAGAGAGAAGGATTCAGGCTGGTGGACCTCCGAACTCCAAATGAAGATATTAAATAATGGCAATCCATGTGTGTTGGGGGTCCAGCTCCTCCTGGGTCAGGTGGGCATAAACCTCACCAAGCCCATTTGGAAGGAAAGATCACACTTGGCACCTTCTATCACCAGAGACACTTCTGGAGCAGATTTCATGTTCAGTTATTAAGTTGCCGCAACAACTTGGCTGTCATTTGAGGGCTGGTGCAAATCTGGCCTCACATGCTGAGCTCTACTCTGTCACATTCTACATTTATTAAGCCTGGTTTAGGCTGCTTTTAAATTTACCTTCCATCAACATCTTCTCATTACAGCATGGTCAAAGAATGCCAGCAGTGCAGCTCCGGAAAGTTTATTATGCTAAAAGACTAGTCCAGAAATATCAATAAAGTTACATTATTTATATTTAAAGGGTGAAACCTGCAGCTGTCCCTGGATATGTACAAATGTGTGATAATTGACTGCACTACAATCTGTGTACAGATGTAGTGGCACATTGGACAACTAAAATCTTACAAAAGCAGCTTTCCTTGGGATTATTAGATTGTTATCAGATGAAGTAAGCAGCAGCGTTCTGCTGAGGTGGAAGGCAAAGAGTAAGGAAAAGTGAAGTCTGCTTCAGTGAATTGTGCACAACTGTTTCTTTTCTGTTTTAACATTCAGCACAACCACACTGGGTAAATTGTTAAAAACCTTCCCCATTTTGTGTGTCCTACTTAAAACATGCTCTGTCCATACCACAGCACTCTGAAGAACTTCCTAGCTAATCTTGCTTCAAACGCACAAGGCCAAAGGTAAAAATGTTTACTCATGATCTTCACAAAAGAATGTCTCTGAAAGGTTTGCCACAGCATCTATAACAGAGGTAACTCAAAGGTGAATGTCACAGCCTTGCCTCTCAGACATCACCAGATACCAGTTAAAGGAGGCATGTTCTCTTCTCCTCTACCCTGGCTTTTATTTAGCGATTGAATACTAAAAGGAAAAGAAATTACAGTAACATACTTTATCTCATCTTCTTTAGACCTAGAAGTCTTTGTAATAATTAATTATATGAATTTCGGTCTGAATCGGCATGTATGCAGTGACATGAAAGCTTTTCCCATGTTAAGGCAAGGGGCATAAGGGTAAGCACAGCTCAAACTTGCCTAAGGTACATTGGCACCAAAATCATAACATTCCTTTGTGTTAGGTGTTAAGGCATACCAAGAAGACAGAAAAAAATGGATGAGGCTGGTGATGGCCAGCCAAGGGCAGCTTTGTACCAGGGCCTGGGGAGAGCAAAACACTTTTAGCTTTCTGAAATTATTGAAATGTTTGAAGAAAACAAGATAAGAAATCCACTCCTCCTGGTTTGCAAGATTGTGAAGAACATACGGAACATCCTGCTGGCAGGAAAGTGAGGTTTACACCCATATGCTCAGCCAATCCCTGCTATGACTATTGCAGGTCTGCAGCATGCCAAAAACTGTTCATGTGTATTTATATTTCTCATGATGCTGTGTGACAGTCATAGTGACCCAGCTGAGCCTCATCAACGAGGTCTCATAAGGGAAGAAGAGGATAGTCTTGTGTCATTGTTTCTGTTGAGCTCACTGCTGTGGGAAATGCAAGTTTGAGGTTTGTGTTGTTTTTGTTTCTTTGTTTTGTTGAATTCTTTTATTTTGTGTTTTTTGTTTGTTTGGGGGCTTTTTGTATCTAAAATTGTGATAAGATTTTGTCAAGACAATAAAAACTCGGAGTTGCAATATATTAAGATATTTTCAGGTAGTTGACAATTAAAATGTGATGAAGTTATTAAAATCTAGTAATTATGATTGCTAGCTATCTATCCATTAATATATACCGCCATTATACACTCACATATATGTATAATGTGCATATGTATGTAAATACATTATACACATATACAGTCAATTACATATTGTATTACTAATTCAAGCTTTTGGTAAAAAGCCAGTAATCAAAAAAAAAAAGTAGAATAAGTACATTAAAATTCTTATTTGTTATTGTTGAAAATAACATTTTTAATACATTCATGAGTTCGTCAAGAATAGAACTAGAATTATAAAGATGTAATAATTTGCTGTCGGTGTCAAACCCACATAATCTTCAAATAAACTGCTTGTGCAGTATCACTCCAGGAACATATTATTTCACAGCTGCAACAAGGCCAAAGATACACTGAGTTTAAACTGATGGGATTGTGTTTGCAATGCATTATTAGGCAGAGTCTTTCAAGGGGCCTGAGACATTTCAATGGAACTTGAGGACAAATTAGTCATGGTCAGCAAGGCTCTTGAGCACCAACACAAGACGTCTGATAAGCAGCTTAAGATTTAACAACTACCTCAGAGAATTCCTGAGCATTACACAGCATACTCATCTTCTGATCCATTGCATCTTAAAGAGAAGTGGAAGTAAAGGAAGCAGATCTCTCTGCTATTCATTATTTACCTGTTGTCCTAACCCTTGGTATTTCATAGAACAGCCAAGTCTCTTGACTCCTCTGACAAGGTGGATTGTGTTGGAGATGAGTCAAACTGCCACAGTCTGTTTACAAAAACAACATGCATAATCCTCCAGTTCCCATCTCTGGAGAGAGTAGTTTCCTTTCCCTCTTGGTCTCAGCTGAAAGGTCTTTGATGACAACATTTTCATGCCAAGATTAGGTAAATTGCTGTAGAGAAGCCTGTGTGCATTGACAGGGCACTTGAGCACGGTAACACTTGGGTGTTTTATTTAACTTTCTTCCCCTTTCATATCAACAGAGTAACCAACTTCCCCACAATCTTTTAAGAAGAGAATTCAGAGGAAACCAGATTTTAGACAACAAAGGTAAAAGCTCAGAATCCCTTTTTCTGACTTAATAGAATTTTCTCAATTCCTGTAGCAAATAAACTGTGTTTGTTGTATCAGTAAGTACCTTACAGTAGAATGAAAGGCTGTTTATTTTATCTTTTATGAAAGACTAAACTCTAAATCCTGGTGCCTTCCATTCTGAACTTTGTCCTTATGACTAAAGGACAGGCTGTACTGCTACAGAGAACTGATAAAGTAGTGAAAGACATCCAGGAGAAAGTAATGTTATGACATAAGCTCAGTATCTGAAATGAAAATTCTTAAAGGAAACAAGCAAAGAGAGCAAGATACAGATAAGGGAAAAGGAAGGTGTATTCTACTCCTGACAATATTTAGCTTACAACACTTGCACTGACTCATGGAACATACTGACCAGCTACAAAAAAACATTAGCACCCAGTGTGTAAATCAGATCAGATCTTTCTACCTCATTGGATTCTTCATCACTAATTTTCTGTTTCATATTTATGGTTTCTTTGGGCTTTCCAACATAGATTTTAAACAATAACATAAAGAATCATTGTGCATTACAGGGACTGCAGTTCTAATCTAGATTAACTACCTGGACTATTTAGATTTAAACAACTTTTTGGGGTTGTAAACTTCTCTTAACTATATTTGACAAGCGATGGATGACAATTTGCATTATACCCATCAGATTCACAGATTCTCCTCAGAAAGGAGACTTTCAGCTGTTGTCTAGAGCATCTGCATGTGGTAGCATTCCTCCAAGAAGGCAGAGGACTTTTACACCCATCATAGAACTATAGGAAAAATCACAAACGTGATAAAAAGAGAATGAGCATATTTCTCCAAAATGTGCCTGCAATTTCTGAAATTCCTGCCATGTCGCATAAACCTTTAAGAAATACAACATTTATTTTATGTCCCATGGAATATCATCTAACATAATAAAAAAGCACATGCAGACAAAATCAGAACCCAACAGAATGCTAATTCACTATTATACAGATATTTTCAGTATAATTATGTTTTATGGCATTATCTTTGCATTCTTTGGGAAATAATTTTGTTGCAGGAGTTTATTGGTTTGCTTTTCTGATACAAATAAAAAAATAACTTGCTTTGGAAATGGAGCAGTATTACCTTCTAGCTGCTCTCTAATAAATAAAAAGTAACAGAACAAGTGGAAGTGGTGGCATGGAGTAGAAGAAACTAGAAATTTATGTAAATCCAATCTTCTTGGAATGGTTGATAACGTGAATAATTAAAAATAAGATTATATTCTTATGGGAGGCATTTTGGGCGTGATATTTAGAAGAAGCCAGGCTGGGAGCAGTTAATAAGGACTGACTGTCTGAGGTTCTTCAGAAAGTCTGCAGCACTTGAAACTGTGTCAGACACTGCAGACAGAGCCTGTCCAATGTAATTCTCTCAGCTCAGTTTTGAGCACTCTGACCTTAGCTCCGCTGTGACCAACACTCCCAGAGGGCTTAGAAGACTGCTAAGGGAAAGATCAAAGACAAATTTCTTTCTCCTGGTTGCTGTAGCATCTATGACCACTTCTGGTGACTTGTCTCTTGCAATGGGCAGCCCCTTGTGAAGTCTTGTGCTTTCATGCTGACTTGTGATAGACATCAGCTTTGGGTTTATGGCTTCAACAGCAGCTCTGAGGGACTACTGTGAAATGGTAATTTCTAACCAACAGCCCTTATGAATTTTTCTTCATGTTTTCTATAACTTCTAGCATTAAAGAAACAGTATTACATGAGGTAGGAAGTTATTCCAGAAACAAATGTTTATTTTCTTCTGTTTGGGGAAAACATATTCCAGGGGAAAAATAATTCAAGAATTTTTCATTATCTTTAAAACCGATAAGAGCTATATCATGAAAAGTTGAGAAAGGGCACTGTCTCCCTTGGCTACCCTAGAAAGCTTATACAATAAGAGTGCTTGAGGCTCTCTTACTCAAGGCTATAGCTCTGTCACCCTGCTAAGGCTCAGCAAAGCAGAAAGAAAGAACAGAAAGGAAGCACCAGCCCCATACCAGAGTCCTGCTACACAACTACAGTGCATGGTCTTTGGAACACAGTCTATCTCACACTTCTGAACCTCCTTCTACTACCACAGAAAATCCCTACCATAAAGGAAAGCTCCGGGCTTCTCATTTCTCAGCTTCCTCAGTCCTGTTGCAGGTCTCCCCACAGCATTTCCCAGTTTTTCCTATCCCTGCATATCAGCCTTCCATATCCCATGTCTCAGACTTGCCTGCACTCAGCAAGTCTCACCCCCATCCCACTGCCTCTCACAGCAGAGCTGGTGCTGGAGGTACTGGATCACTTTTGGGATGCTGGCTTTGTCCTGTTAAAACACAGAGCCCAAAACCCCAGTAAGACTGGCCTGACATGCCTTGTTTCTCAAGGTATGTTGAGAAATATACCTCAAATTCAGGTAACTTTTATGCATCTCCATAGTGTTTTCTAAGTCTGTCCTTATCTTCACATCATGCATTGCTTCCATGATTATTTATTCCATGACTTATGCAGTGATTAAAATGACTCTGATTTAGAACACCTTAGTCACTCTAAGGCATGGCCTCATGCTTCCCCTATCACCCCCAAACTTCCAGGGAGAGCAGCTCTGTCACTGCTCCATGGGTTAGCAGACCTGAGGTTTTTCAGATTAAATGAGTAACTAAAGCCCCTAATGAACTGGAGGGCATAGGAGGCTTCTGGCATGAACAGCTGGGGTTAGTTGGCATTAAACTCTTCATTAATTAAAGCCAGCTTCCAAGTCAATGCCTAGAATGAGTTCAGGGATCAGGAAAAGAATTAATTAGCTTCCTATTAAAAAAAAGCCAGCTTTGGATGTTTGGATTGAGACATGATCTATTTCTATAGTTTTGTGTTTTATTTTTCAGGTGAGTGCAAGAAGAAATCATTAGACTTAGAAAACCTGCTTCTTCTGCATATGTTTGTTTTGCACCAAGGAGATGGGGGTGAGCAGCATTTTCAGACCCACACATTCAAGTTTCCATTCCAGACAATCTAAAGCTGTGGGGAAGCAAACATCACAGAGGCAGCACATTTCTGCTCCAAAGGACAAGGAAAGCACTTCATTCTCAGGTTTGGTAATTGAGAGTGCAGTCTGTTATTGAAGCTGAGCTTAAGGAGGGCAAAGATCAGAGTATGAAAGGAATTTGTTTTGATGTATATTTTAATACAATAATTGCTGCTTAAACAAGACAGTGCATCGCTAGACTTGTAATCAGTAATATTCACTCTCACTGACTGCTGCATGCAGCAGTAAAAGACAAGATTTTAATGTAAGTAGATACCACCTCAAAGAGCAAATGTTTCCACAATAGCCAGCAGTGCCCTGTTCCTCCCTGGAAAACCATTAGGTAAATAATTACAACCCAATCAGATACCTCTAACAGACATTAAAAATAGTTTTCCTTTATTACTTAGCATTCAGCTGAATGCTTCAGGATATAGTCCTGCACCAAGACACAGATATATCTCCATTTTTGTCTTCACAAACTATCAAATGAACTCCATTTACATCTATTCTCTTTATTCATTCCTGTGAAGTCATCATCTGTTCTCTTTAGAAACTCATTGTGTGATACAATTTTCTCTGTATTGTGAGGATTGGGGAGAAAGCAACAGCCTGAAGTTTTAGTGAGTAATCTTACTAAGATATTAAAAAAAAGTGCCAAGAAAAAAATGTATTTTCCAAAAGAAATCAGTTTGCATAATATGAAGAAGAAGAGGAAACAAAAGATGGAATAAGGGAAGATTTTTTACAAAAATTCTAAAAATTCCTTCTTTAAAATTGGCAAAAGGGGATTTATCAGCCACAAGATGAAATCACCTCTCATTTTTATTTTTGATATATCCTAATTTGATTGTTAACAACCTGACCTAGTATACCTAGCTATTAATATCCATGTTTTTATGAATGATTGTGCTAAATTTCCTGCCCACAGACTTTTTTCTAACACAGATGAGTGGGGAAATTGAGAACAGAAGCCACTTATATAGAAATAGTAGCTGGATGACAGTAATTGCTACATTGTAACATGGGTATTAATTCAAGGTACATCATGTTCATGTTCTCTGTGTTACTCTGAACAACAAATGCATCAAGAAAATATAATCTCATCACTTGAAAATTTCTATTAAGTTAAAGGTGGAATTTAACCATCTCAGGTACATGATTTAGGTTTGAGGTTATGAGAAGTGAGGATCTAAACTATGCATTGGAAATCAAAGTCCACAGCATAATAGCAAAGAGCTAACTTGGAATATTTAAACTATTTTCTAGAGGAAAACATGGCTTAATCAAAAATTAAAAGCAACACTTTGGATAGAAGAACTGATTTAGCCAAAACATTTAGATGGAGAGAAAAGGGAATTAATTTAAACAGCCTCAAATTAATCACAGATATGTTGCTCTATTTTTTCTCCATTTCTCTGTGCTTATAAACAATATATTAAGAAGCAAAAAATATATTATTCAGTTTCAAGGCATCTGAAATGAAATATTTATCTTTCAAAACTTTATGTATATCTAGCTGAATTCAGGATTAATTCTGAATTGGAGAAAAACAACATTCATAATCCTTCACAGAACTGGATTTTTCACTTTCAGCAGAGTTTTGCTGGCAAGGTCCATTTGTGAGAGGTGTTAGCAAAATTCTCAAGTCCTTAAAGTTGTATTCTACTCTAGGGAATGGCATAATTTGAAATAACAAAAAATGGGGAGGGACTCAGTAAGAAGACATTCTTTTCACCGGCAAAGAATTGGGAAGAAACCAACAGGTTGCTGGAAACATCACTGAGCTTTGTTTTGTTTCACTGAAGACCCCCAAACTACAGCATCTGGCAAAAATTCAGGTAAATATTTAGGTTTTCAGACCTGTCCTCATTCCAAGTCTTTCTGAGTGGAAGGTCCTGGGTTCCCTGGGTCCAAGTCTTTTTTGTTTAAGTAACGAATACATCCTCATATCT